GAGCATATATAACTGAATGTCTTGATGTTTAAGTTTATTGTAAGAATAAGATTCCCCAACTCATCTTTTTATGATCTGTTTCCTGATCAACAGCCCATGAGGTCAGAGACAGTGGCTATAGGCAACAGCCCTCCACAGGTAATTCTGTTCACCACTGTCAGGATGAGATACTAACAAAACAAAGACCTCTGAGGGAGACTCACCTGTATAGCTCCAAAAACTCTGGATAGGGATTAACAGGATCCAATGGCCCATAGATAAAATGAACTAGGAAAGAGAAGAGGAATGATTACTAACAGCTCTCGCGTCTATTTTCCTACTCCCACCCTAAAATTAACTCCTCTCCAAAAAAGATTTTTTGTACATAAACTTTATGATAGAAAATCTAGCTGCTTTTATTAGGTAGGCTATAAAGAACTGTTGGGAATAAGCCAGTTAGTTCATTTGGCACATTTTCTCCTATATATAGCCATATAGTCTCTTGGTCTCTCCTCTAGCTCTTCTGTGCCCTAGACCAAAAGGAATAAGCCCCACTTTCAACATTCTCTTTCTATAAATCTAGGATATTGTCATTCTGTAAGTCTCTCTCTTCAGTTATAATTGACCCTTGACATTTGAAATCAACCAATAATTTCCTGAACACTAACTACTATGTATGAAACACTACTTTTTTTTTTCTTTTTAAATCTGTAAGAGGGAATAGACAAATGAGCACAAACCACTATAGCCTCTTGATTAGTAATCTAAATGGCCTTCTACCCCCAGCAATTTAGCATTTAACGTAGCAGACACTGGTAATACACACCACAGAAACCAGTGATACCAACTACCTTTGTAATGTCTCATATAATGTTTTACATATTAATGCTTCACTCTACATATATATCACTGGGGTTCCAGATGTTGGGATCAGAGTTTCCAGTAAAATAAAGGATACCCATTTAAATTTAAATTTCAGATAAAAAAAATGAATTGTTTTGGTACAAGTATGTCCCAAAAATTGCACAGCACATGTTTAAATACTGAAAAAGTATTTGTTGTGTATCTAAAATTCAAATTTAATTGGGTATCTCATATTTTAATTTGTTAAATCTGGTAATCCTAATTAGAAGTAATAGGAGATGCAGCTATTTTAACCCTACAGTCCTTTGGTTTTCCTACTAAGAAGTAATACGAAAATACTCACTGGGAATATTTACAGAGGTAAGAGCTCCCACCCAGCGTCTTTTAAACTTCTGCCGCTGATTGATGTACTGTAAGAGACTATAGGACAGATAAGTCAGCAGGAGCAGGACAAGAAACCCTTATTATAAGGTACCACAAGTAACACAATATATGACTTAACCCAGAAGCAACTTGGCATTCCTGGGAATGGCCCACTTAATTTATCCATTTATGTTAATCTCTAGAGTCAACAACCATGTAGCTATGGCAGTGATCAATGTAAGATTAACAGTACTGTGTGTTTATTAAGCAGGAATGAGATCTATTAATATGAAGGTAGAAAGTTGTTTTGGATCGTATGTGACTAAAGCCTGGGTCTGAGGTTCCAATTTTGGCTCTGCCACTAACTAGCTCTGTGACTCAAACATATGACACACATCTTTTCCTCAGTTTCCTCATTTTTGGTTTTTTTAAGAGATGGGTCTCACTATGATGCCCAGGCTGAAGTACAATGGCTATTCATTGTGATCATAGCTCACTGCAGCCTCAAACTCCTGGGCTCAAGCGAGCCTCCCACCTCAGCCTTCTCCCCAGTAACTGGGACTATGGGTGCGCACCACCAGGTCCAGCTACATTTCTTATTTTTAAAACAAGAGGATTCAGGTATATGATCTCTAATGTTGACATCTCTAAAATTCTAAATGCAGAAGTTTATGAGCACAAAGCTTTATCCTCGGCACTTCATCTGACCACAGATAAAACAGAAAGCATTTCTCTTCCTACAGTGTAAAATGTCATATCCACATTGTAGAACTGAAACTCTTGTATTCTAATTATTCTGCCTGGCAAATCCAGGACAGTTATTATTGTGAACCTCAAAAAACTGTGGAATTACCTCTTAGAAACCGTATTTACTTTTTGAAAAGGAAAATATAAGAGAATTTTTAAAATAGTCTTGTTTTTCAATTTTTTTTTAATATTAAAAAATATGTTTAATATTAAAATGAATCTTCAGGGATCCCATGGGGGGATAGAGGTGAGAAGGAAGAATGGCTCCCTCTAACACACATTTCCTAGCAAAGCCATCAGTAAAAGCATTAGAAGCTACACTGACCCAAGGTGGCAAAAAGAGCCTTATTTCAAGTAGTTACAGATATCACCATTTCTAGATCCCTCCTTGAAAGCAACTAAATTCTCATTTATATCAAGGCACTGGAATTCTCTGTACAAGACAGAGAGGTCTGCCCTCTCAGTCCTGTTGCTACAGAAAAGATTTGCAAAAGGAAAAGCTTTGTACTTTGAGAGAGGCAGTAAGCTTCTTTCACAACTATGATTAAACTAAATATTTACGTATTTACTATTAACAAAAAGTCCAAAGAAGGATTTGCCAAAATCAATCTGTCAGTTGTAAACTCAATTAGCAATAGAATTTACAGCTGTTTGTCTAAACTTTTGTGCCACATGGCTTAGGCTCAGGACTCGCTCTATTCTCAATCTCTTTCTTCTTAGAAAGTACTGTTTTTGGTTTGCCTCATAGGTCATAACCAACCTTCCTGTGATAGGGAACAAGCCAGCAAGGAACAGAACAAGCAATCCTGCATCTTTCCCCACTCTCCAAAAAAAGCTGCTCTGGAAATCAAAGCAAGGATAATTTCTTACCTGTCGATGACTAAGTTCCCGTCATTGTTGCGGATCCCTGCCCACATGTCCCACAGTTCGCTCTCAGAGGGCCGAGTGTACGGCCCAAAGACAGGGGTGAGACTGAAAGAGTCCAAAATGCAGGAAGATAAGCATAAGGAGAACTCAGAATGTTAAATGTGACTGGAACCTCAGAGGCCATTGCAGTCTGACCCATACCTGATTTATGAATTCCTTCTACTCTTTCCCTGGCAAGTGGCCAACACCTTAGCTTTAAAATACAAACCCTAGGATGTGGCCCAGAATTGTAATGGCAACAACTTTTCGCTACATTGTTCCAAGGCCACAGTCAATCTCTGACAACGACTTACCCTCTAGAGAATACAAAGAAGTTCATCAGCCGTGTGAGGATGGGTGACAGCACGCCTCCATCTTTGAGTAGCTGTGGGGGAGTAAGTGGAAGTAAAGATTAAGAATCCAGAGAAAGACAACTCACCGGGACAATAGATTTTATACTAGGAACTGAAAGAGGAATTTAGCCATATCTCCTCCTACTCAAAGGTTTGGTAGTTTGGTTTTTGGTTTTTATTTGACCTACCCACATCCTTCTCTCCTGGAAGACAAATCTATTTCTAATTTCACTTAAGATTACGTTTCTACATTTCACTAAATCCCTAAGATTTAATTTTACTCTGATATATTCAAGTTTAGATTAGGATCCAAATTTGTTCAAACATCAATTCTTATGACACAAATCTCTCCAGAGCTATATTTCTCTAAATATTTGTTGATCTCTTATTCTCAGAAATAGCTTTAGGTTTTATGCAGGGGCCAATTACTTTGCTTTATTTGTCTAAGAAGGGAAAAACTAACTTCATATTAATCACAGGGAAGACAGTTTTAACTATGGCCCATTACAAGAGGTGTGGCCCTTAGAAGGTCCCAGCATTATGTCAGCACAAATCTTAAAACTAAAGATCTATTCAGGCCGGGCGCGGTGGCTCACGCCTGTAATCCTAGCTCTCTGGGAGGCCGAGGCGGGTGGATCGTTTGAGCTCAGGAGTTCAAGACCAGCCTGAGCAAGAGCGAGACCCCGTCTCTACTAAAAATAAAAAAAAAAAGTTAATTGGCCAACTGAAAATAGAAAAAAAAAAAAAAGATCTATTCAATGAAGTAGCCAACCTTTTGGAGTAGGAGAGGGTGGTGAGTCTCAGGAAAAATACCTGTAGAAGAAAAGACTTAGTCATTTACCTACAACTTTAGGTCAAGGGCAACCTCGTTATCAGAGATCATCCACCCTATTCACTGTCACCTTTGGGGCTTTTACTGCTAAAACAGAATTACAGATAAAAACTTAGTATAGTCATCTAATTACTTCTCTAGGGAATTCTGTGTTTGGACTGGTCAAATTATATACCACTAGAATTACTTTTCTCATTTTAAAGGTAGAGAAATGGGAGAAGTAATTTATATGGTCATTGTTAATGCTGATGAGTAGGCTCTGACTCCCCTTAGCGTTTCCCCCCATTGCTCAGAACAAAAGTGTTATTAATGATTTGGGCTGCAAGGGAAAAAAACAGGTTTTTCAATAAGCATAGGTCCTAAAAAAAAAAAACCTAGTTTTTCCTTTTCCATTTTTCGTCAGAGTCAACAGAAGAGCTATGAGCATAGCTGTTAAAGGGACAGACTCCTTTCCCAATCTGTTCTTAAGGCATTCAGGGACATTTGGGAATTTATGGATTTACAGGCTGGCTGTCCAAAAGGCCTAATCAGTGATTCACTAATTTCTAACTGAAGCTTGGCATGCCAACAATTAGGCGTTTAAGAATCTAATATGTTTAAGCCCTCACTTAATGTCATCGATAGGTGCTTGGAAACTGTGACTTCAAGTGAAACCATGTACACCAGGTCCTCAAATAACAGCATTTCATTATAACATTAATGAGAAGGGAAAAAACTGGTTTCATTATGTTTTACTTGAAGTCATAATTTCCAAGAACCTATGAAAACTGTTACGTGAGGACTTGCTGTACTAACACCTGTGGCTTTATTCTATATCTTCAAAATCCAATACTTTCATAATCCATTGCAGTTATTACAAATATTGCAAAACAGCATTTACACTTCTCACTACTTCTATTTATTTTTTTCAATAAACTTTTAAAAATTGTTTAACTTTATTAAAAATTTATTTTTTTTACCCTGTTCACAACTATCTATGTGCTACTACTTCTAATCATAGTTGTTACTAGACCTTCCACTAGATCTTGCTATCTAATGCATTGAAAATGAAGCATATATTACTATATGCAGCTTTTTATTGACTGTATGTCAAAATAACATCACTTTCCTTTGTAATCCTTTTAATTTTATGTATTAAAAAACATTCTGAGAGGCTGGGTGCAGTGGCTCATGTCTATAATCCTAGCACTCTGGGAAGCTGAGGCAGGAGGATTATTTGAGCTCAGGAGTTCAAGACCAGCCTGAGCAAGATCGAGACCCCGTCTCTACTAAAAATAGAAAGAAATTAGCTGTACAACTAAAAACATATAGAAAAAAATTAGCCAGACATGGTGGCACATGCCTGTAGTCCCAGCTACTCAGGAGGCTGAGGCAGTAGGATCACTTGAGCCCAGAAGTTTGAGGTTTCTGTGAGCTAGGCACTCTAGCCCAGGCAACAGAGTGAGATTCTGTCTCAAAAAAGAAAAAACACATTCTGAGAAAGGTCCACAATCTAATCAGACCACCAAAGCACTCCACAGCACAAAAAAAGGTAAAGATCCCTTAGTTTAATTGTATCTACTTGCAATATCATCAGATTACCATTTAGATGTCACATGATATCTAAAGGTGGTCCTTCTAGGCTACACCCCACTTTCCACCTACCGCCAAAGTAATTACCTCCATTGGACAGACACAGACTCTTTATGGTAAGCCGCCCAGATCGATTCTGCTTGTACCTAGAACAGGAGATGAGGAAACACACATGTGGCTACGTGGTCTTACACCAATGCAGCAGCCAAGGGAGAAAAGGGAAAGAAAGAGTCAAAGAACAATTTACTTTCCTAGCATCTTAAGCTAGTGCTTCACTGACCTATAGAGCAGCTCCTGAGCAACAATATCTCCATAATCGTGAGACAAAAGGTTGATCCTACGGTTCTGGAGCCCCAGATGCCGCAAAAGCGCTTCGACGATGCTGGCTTGCTCAAATATGGAGTAATGATGTGGTCTCTGAGGAAAAGAAAGCCCAGATATATAGGATGAAGTCATAAATACAGATCTCTCTGCCAGCCTGACCCCTCTTCTCCATATCCCTGCCACCCCCAGGTGGCAGGTGCTGCTTACCGGTTTGTCACTGAAGCCAAAGCCTAAGAAATCAAGGGCAATCACTCGATGAAACCTCAAGGTCAGACCTTCCCAAATCTACAAAAAGGAAAGGATAATTTGGACTTTCTGCTCCTGCCCCTACCCCCCACTTCCCCCCAACCTAGAGCACCAATGAAGCTTCTTCATCCCTATCTCAGCCTCACAGACTTCGATAAAGAGAGAAAACCTCATGAAACCACCACAGGCTCCAGAGATGATCCTATTGGAAAGTGCTTTATTTCTAGTACTTAATCTCTATTGAGGGAAGATAACTTGTAAATAACCCTTTTCCAGATTACCAAAGATTTTTTTCCTCCCTTACAGTAAATAAGAAACAGTTCCACATTAAATGCTATTTTATTAAGCAATTCAGATTTACAAGAGCCTTCTACCACTGATAACAAAATCCTTGATTATGGATTTTTAAAGACATAGTAGGACCTAAATATCTGACTTCATTACCTTGTACCAATCATAGCTGGATGTTGGAAAGCCGTGTAAAAGCACAACTATCTCCGGGCTTCCAACCACACCTGCAGAGTCTGGAAGGAGGAGAGAGATCAATTAGGCCAAATTCCTATAAAAATAACCTTGAAGATAGTAAAATCTAAGTAACTAGTACAAAGGACAACAAATTGTGACCAAATTAATAACATTAAAATGATATATTTTAGGCCGAGCGCGGTGGCTCACACCTGTAATCCTGGCACTCCGGGAGGCCGAGGCGGGCGGATTGCTCAAGGTCAGGAGTTCGAAACCAGCCTGAGCAAGACCCCGTCTCTACTATAAATAGAAAGAAATTAATTGGCCAACTAATATATATAGAAAAAATTAGCCGGGCATGGTGGCGCATGCCTGTAGTCCCAGCTACTCGGAAGGCTGAGGCAGAAGGATTGCTTGAGCCCAGGAGTTTGAGGTTGCTGTGAGCTAGGCTGATGCCACGGCACTCACTCTAGCCTGGGCAACAAAGTGAGACCTTGTCTCAAAAACAAACAAACAAAAAATGATATATTTTGGCCGGGTGCAGTGGCTCACACCTATAATCCCAGCACTTTGGGAGGCTGAGGCTGGAGGATTGCTTCAGGCTAGGAGTTCAAGATGAGCCTAAGCAAAAGTGGGACCCTGTCTCTATAAAAAATATAAAAATTAGCCAGGTATGATGGCATGTGCCTATAGTCCCAGCTATTTGGGAGGCTGAGGCAGGAGGATCACTTGAGCCCAGGAGTTTGAGGTTGCAGTGAGCTATGATCACACCACTGTACTCTAGCCCAAGAGAACAGAGCAAGACCCGGTCTCAAAAAAAAGACACTTTGTAAAATGGGAGCTTAAGCTGGGCACAGTGGCACACGCCTATAGTCCCAGCTACTCAGCTGACGACAAAGGATCATTTGATCCCAGGAGTTCAAGTCCAGCCTAGGCAACATAATAAACAAATAAATAATAAAATGCAAGTTTACTGCTTTAGGTAACAAGCACTTTCTCCATTTAATTGTATATTTTAAAAAATTGTAAAAAGCACATTGTGAAAAAGGCAGCTTGCTTACTTTCACCTAAATGTTTTTTAAAAAGTATATCCCCATTTCTCCGTTTATTATGTATTAATATCAATATGCAAGTTGTTTTTCACAGTAAAAAGTAAACTTTCACTGTAAGACATATACAATCCCTCATATAAGCACAAATTCTTTGTACCTTATCAATAATGGCATCACAAAAATTCTCTAAAATATGGCAACTCTTCCCGACAAACAACTTAAACATGCTGTTTGTCTAGCACTTTTTATTTCAGCAGAGACCCGATCCAATATCAAAAGCATAATACTCAAAACTATTACAAAATTATGTCAACTATAAAAAAGAGTTAATCAACATAGACATGAACATTTTTTAATGCATATGACAATATGGAATTAATTAAACATCTTTTAAATTAGGCAAACATTTAGACAGTATTAGCCTTAGTACTGGATTAAAACTGACACATTTATATACTGCCAGTGGCATGAAAATTTGATAAGATTTTCAAAAATAATTTAAGAGCAATTAAGATTATATACTTCAGCTTAAGAGTATTATTCTTGAAAATCTATGCAAAGAAAATCATTCCATTTAGTCAAGTAGTATAGTTTGAAAGTGTAAGGAAAAAATAAGCTGTATATACAACGTTAATTTTTTAAAACATTAAAAAAAAAAGGAAACAACCCACACCAACATAAAGAAAATTATATACTTACTTAACTGAATATAGCAAATGAGAGGAGGTCAGGAGCAATAATGAAAAACGGTTTATGACAAACATTTTTCGTTATTGCTCTTGACCCCCGCCCAAAAGAAATCTTTTCCAATCTGTTTCTTGGTTTCTTCACCTATAAAATGAGGTTAATGGCACACCACCTATCTCCAAGTGCTGCTGTAAAGATTTAACAGCGAAAGCTGAAAACATAACTCAGTGTCTGACATATAGTAAGTAACTACTTGATAAGTAGCCATCATAATAATCATTAGCAAAGTAATTTATACAATGGTATAAGACTAAAATCACATTTAAGTCTTCATAGAACAAACAGTTTTATAAAATGAAATCAGAGATGGTAGGGGGACAGAACCAATGGTGGTTAGTTCTAGGAATATTGGATATATTACCTGAACCTCAAAAACAGTAATATATGGATACAAATCAGGCTATAAAGAAAAATTATACTAAAAAGTCAAGCCTACAGAGTAGAATCTCAGTTCCACACCCCACCCTCCCAGTAGTTTTGTTTCCCCACAATTGAGTAAATGAGTGGAATTAGTCCATTCCTTCAAACGCACCACACAGAAACGGGGGTTACTACCCTCTATCACGAAGGACACAAAATAAGTACCTCAGCCAAGCCCGCTGGGACCTACACGTGCAGGTGTTCCAATAGTCCAGGTCTTACCTTGGTAGAAGATGCGCAGTCCCTTGTATGTGAAAAATTTGCCTGAAGCCTTCCATGCGTGAAGGGCAGGGGAAAGCTGAGGGGGCGGGATGTGCAGGTACGCCGCGAGCAGGGGCACAGCCAACAGCCCCACCTGAACCCACCACTCCCGCATCCTGGAGGAAAAGCAGAGAACCCGTAAGCAGTTACACTCATCTACGAGCCCAAAACTGGTAAGATGGGGTGGGAAATTTCTGTACCATGCGATGACTACCTTGCTGGCTGGCTGTGTGAACCAAGGCAGAGAGTTTACCAAGAATGTGATAGCACCTCTGCCTGCTGTGGCAATCACCACAATTGCTCACCATTCTAATTTTAAGGAAAATAAACTTATATCAATATGTAATCTTCTACCTCTGCTCCCCTATTTTAACCCTTAGCCCTCCTCCTTCTGCTCTTCCCACACCTACTGAAGGGCTTTATGTAAATCAAAGGAAGGTAACTTCTATACCCTTTCATTAGTTAGCTCTTATCAAGGTTTCCCAGGGGAGAAAACAATTTCATTCATATTTACTCTAAAAGCTCTACCACCTGCCCACCAGCCCCCACCAGGAAAATGTCTGAAATGTGCTACCTGATGTTAAAAATAATAATAATAATACCCATAGTAACTTATCATGTTCTTAAGCAGAGAGCTGCTCCTGATTTTTAACAGTTCCTTTATCAACCCTCCTGCCCAAGTGAACCCCAGTTTAGTATTACTATCTGGATTTGGGCTGAGAAACTGCTCAGGTTTGAGAGTCTGAGAAAGAATCTGAGAAGTGAAAAGATAGCTGCACTGTATATTCCAACATAAGCAGCTTTGTCATGACCCTGACTGTCTAATCTCTTGAGAGGTCAGAGCAGCAGATTACATTTTTGCATTTATTAGCAGACTCTTGAGGAAGTACCAATTTATTTAATTCATAGTACCCTCTTCTCCCCCCTTTAATAAGGCAGACCTCATAGGCAGCATGTGGGAATTGGTTTTTTTTTCTTTGGAAGGAACCCACTGATTTGTATACCAAACCTTACCATGCCCAGGACTTCAAAGGTCCCAGGTCAATTTATCCACATTGACAAGGGGTGAGTGCTAAACAGGAATTAGAAACAGTTTCCTGACTCCTCATGGTCACCAGGGAAAGAGTTGTCAGTAGAGTGAAAATTCTCTCAAAACAGCCAGAATGGAAATATACCCTCCAAAACTAAAATGAGAGCTGTCAAGAAAATATAGCTATCAATAAAGGAAATTAATTGCTAAAGCCCTGGTGGAAATGGCTTTCTGTCTGGACACACACCCATGCCACAATCCCCATCCATCACTAATTAATCCAACTCGAAAAATACTTTTTAAACTCTAAAAATAAATAAATCTGTGGTTCCACAGTGATAAAATAACCATGTCACTTAAAGAATCTCAACTCCCCAGACTATTTTTAAGGCACTATTTTGTAAGGCATTTTAATCACGGGCAGTCATTTCTTTTTTTCTCCAAAATATCTGTCCATAAAACAAATTATTTCGGTTCTACCTTTCAAGGTAATACTAGAAATGATTTTTAAAAGTGCCAGGACATGATGGTCATATCACAATTTTCACCCCACAACAGTAGCAGGCTTCATCCCAATACCGCCTTGCAAGGTCAGATGACAAAAAGCTTTGGGTTTTGTGGATCATTTTCTCGGCACCACCAGTCCTACACCTGTCCATTCATTTCACGTGCGCACTTCGTGCGCACTTCGTCACTCCACTGTCCACCGTCTCCAGCGCTGAAGCTCTGCAGTGACTCAGCAAACAGCTAGAGAGGGGCTGCCATAGCCGCAAGCAGGGAAGGCTGGGGGGGGGGGGGTCCGGTACACTCCACCCTCCACACCCTCCTTTTACTCCAAGAAAGCAAAGACGCAACAGCCTCCTCAGGGGGCTGATTTTTGTCTTATTTTACCTCAGTCAAAATGCCCCAAAGACATTTTAGGGTTTTTAGTAGTCAAGCAATCTGGGAGTCAGTAAGCAAAATGGATTAAAGAAATATTTTTTTTTGTCCAAAGTGCCCATTATTTGATGAGCCATGAGTTGAGGTAATAAATTCAGCAAGCTCCAGTAACAAACATTCTGGATATTTCTGAGCCTTGATTTCTTTCTCTTGTAAACCGGAAAAAATACATTCATCTAAATTAATACCACCAAACCTGCCACCCACCTTACTGCATCACCGCGAGCTGAACTACTTTGCAAACCAGCTAAACCAATGCAAACGATTCTGGTGTTAACAGTGTGGCACTTTGGTCACATAACCATTCTTAATTGCGCTTCTCCGTAGTGAAATCTAAAAAATACTTAACGCCGCGGTGATCCGGCACGGCACTGCACTCAAGTTCTAGTCACATGCATGCGGTTACTCACACCACCGCTACATCCCAGGTCTCAGAAATCCTAAGTCGCGCAGCGGTGCTCACACCATTGCGATACTGCGGTCTTAAAATCCTAAATCGCGCCACCGCAATGCCCGGGGTCTCGAAATCCTAAGTCGCGCTGCGGTAATCACACCATTGCGATACTGGGGTCCTAAAATCCTAAATCGCGCCACCGCAATGCCCGGGGTCTCGAAATCCTAAGTCGCGCTGCGGTAATCACGCCACTAAGATACTGTGGTCTTAAGATCACAAATCGCGCCACCGCAATACCCGGGGTCTCAAAATCCTAAATCATGCTCCGGTGATCACACCATTGAGATGCTGGGGTCTTATCCTAAATCACGCCACCGCAACGCCCGGGGTCTCAAAATCCTAAATCGCGCCACCGCAATGCCCGGGGTCTCAAAATCCTAAATCCCGCTGCGGCAATCACACCACTAAGATACCTGGGGTCTTAAAATCCTAAATCGCTCCACCGCGATATCCTGGGTCTCGAAATCCTAAGTGCTCCGGTGATCGCACCATTGCGATGCTGGGGTCTTAAAATCTTCAATCGCGCCACCGCAATGCCCAGGGTCTCAAAATCCTAAATCGCACTGCGGTAATCACGCCACTAAGATACCTGGGGTCTTAAAATCCTAAATCGCGCCACTGCTATACCCCGGGGTCTCGAAATCGCGCCACCGAAATGCCCGGAGTCTCGAAATCCTAAGTCGCCCAGCAGTAATCACGCCACTGGGATACTGGGATCTTTTATGAACATAAACTGCGCCACAGCGATACCCAGGTTTCAAAATCCTAAATCACGCTGCGGTGATCACCATTGCGATACAAGGGTCTTAAAATCCTAAATCGCACCACCGCAATACCCGGGGTCTCGAAATCCTAAATCGCGCCACCGAAATGCCCGGGTCTTGAAATCCTAAATCGCACTGCGGTAATCACGCCACTGAGATACTGGGATCTTATGATCATAACTGCGCCACAGCGATAGCCAGGTCTCAAAATCCTAAGCCGCGCTCTGGTGGCGATACTGGCGCCTTAAAATCCTAAATCGCGCCACAGTGATACCGGGGTCTCGAAATCCTAAATCGCGCGATACCCGGGGTCTCGAAATCCTAAGTCGCGCGATACCCGGGGTCTTGAAATCCTAAGTCGCGCCGCGGCACGCCAGCCCGGTACCCGGGGTCTAAAAATCGTAAGTCGCACCAGGGCAGTGCTGGGATCTGGAAATCCCAAATTGCGCCAGGACAATGGCCGGGTCTAAAAAGCCTAAATAGCACTAGGGCAATGCTAGTATCTAGAAATCCTAAGTCATGAGACGGCAATGGCGGGGTCTAAAAATCCTAAATCATACTTGGGTGATGCCGAGGTCTAGAAATCCTAAATCGTGCCACAGTGATACCTGGGTCTAAAAGTCCCAAATCGTGCTTGGGCAATGCCGGGATCTAAAAATCGTAAATCACACGGGTGTGATACTTGGGTCTAGAGATCCTAAATCGCGCCAGGGTAATCAAGGTCCGAAAATACTAAATCAAGGCGATCCCGAGTTCTACATAGTCTATTACGTGCAGGGGTGACACCCCGCTCCCAAGCAGGCAGACGGGGCTCCAAAGACAGAAATGCGTGCTGCCTGCTCCGTGGGGTTTCGCCGGTAGGCAGTCCCAGCTCCTGCAAGGGGTGTCCCCACCGCCAGCCCGCACCCTGGTCCTGGGACGGCCAGCCACACCCCCTGCACGCCAGCCACCACCCGCGCACCCACCTGCGGAGACGATCTCGGCGCACCATGGCCGGGTTATCCCATGCCCGCCGCAGCGTTGCAGAGCACTGGGCGCCCGCAGCGCCCGCAGCGATGCAGTACGGAAGGCGGCTGGGGCGCAGCCCACAGCCAGCGCAGGGTGGCCGCGGACGGCAGCGAGCGGCCACTCGGGCGTGCGCTGCGGCACTCCGCTCGCCGGGCGAGGTTGCCGCGGAGGAGGCACGGTGCAGCCGCTGCCCGCCAGTACGCGAAGGGATGTGCTGGTGGCCGCTGCAGCGCAGAGCGAGCGGGCATCGACTTTTAAAGCCCACCCGCGCCCCGCCTCTGGCCCGCCCACCGCGCCGCAGTGCCCCTCCCGCCTGCTTGCCGCAGAGCCCCTCCCAGCTGCCTCGCCACCAGCACAGCTGCAATGATGGGACGCCCCTTTTGCAGCAGCTTTAGGGGGCACCTTCAGGGGTGTCGATCCCCCTTCCCCCGGCTGCTCCCTCGCAAACCCTCAACCCCACTCAAGGTTCTACTGCGGAAACCCTTCCCAGGCGAGATATTGCCGCGGCCAAAACCAGCAAACCCAATACCCCAACACTCCTCATAGACTACCTCCAGCCCAGAGGGTGGCCGCTCCACCTCAGGAGTGACGGGGCTCAGGAGTGCCAGCTGTGGCACCTGCTCCCATTGCACGCCCGAAATGCGGGTTCTGAACCATGAGAGTGCCCACGTCTAAAGCGGCAAGCCACGAGCACCCGACACCCCCTAAGCGCCTAACTGCGGGCAATGACCAAGGGCACAACCAAGTGGCTAGGTAACAGCAAGCTCTGCTCTACCCACCGCCGAGCAGGTGGGCCGATTCATGGGATGGCCACTACGGAGCAAAGCTAGCGAAAGTTGCCAAAAGTGGTTTCTCCCGCGGGCTGCCGCGCCGCGGCACGGGCACGTTTCCTTTGCAGCAGCGCGACGTGGTCGGCATGCCAGACGCCCGCCGCAGCGCCCTCGCGCCCTCCCGGCCAGGCGCCAGTCCCGTGCTGCGCGGAGCAGTCGGCACAGCCAGGGGAGCAGCGCTCCCCTTTATTCACGAACAACAGCATCACAACGCAAGGGCTCTGGAGGTACAAGAAGAAGGGAAAGAATTTTTTTAAGCCATAATCCTTTAAAAGATATCTATTACGCCTTTGAAAAGAAAAGCATAGAGTATCACGGTGTCTGTGTTCATTTTCTGGCTGTGAACTGAAATTCTGATGCACGCGCGCGGGCTGCGAACAACCAAGCGAGGAAGCCGGCCGGCGCCGCTCGGTCCAGAGGGGGCGCTGCAGGCCTCTCTTCCATCGCTGCCCGGACCACTCCGCCGCGCGGGCTCTGCGGGCTCTGCTGGCTCTGCAGCCCAAACAGCCGGCCCCGGGGCCATCTAACGGGGATCTCGGGCCACCTAACGGGGAATCTCGGGCCACCTAACGGGGATCTCAGGCCACCCAACGGAGATCTCGGGCCACCTAACGGAGATCTCGGGCCACCTAACGGGGAATCTCAGGCCACCTAACGGGGATCTCGGAGCCACCCACCAGACACTGGAGAAACACATATGAGCGTGTCATCAGAATGTGTGGCACACTACAGGCTATACTACTGGGGTCTGCTTGCCCCCAGTCAAAGCATTCATGAAACAAATGCTTATTTAGCACTACAGTGCCGCTAAGAGCTGGGGGTCCAAAAAGAATGAGAGATGGTCCCTGCCCTAGAACAAGACGCTGGCCATCTGAAAGGGAAGACAGACAAGAAATGACGCTTTTTAAATTTTCTTTTTAATTTCCTAGCAACATTTTGTGACCGGTTGGCCTCCTCCTCCCTAACGTGTAAAGTCCTCAAAGGCCGAGCCCAAGTATTATTCACCTTTTGTATCTCCAGAGCCCGCCACAGTGCCGGCCACAAAGCAGGCCCCTAATAAATACTGCATGAATAAGTACAAGAATTTGAGGGCACACAGGGGAGGAAGTAATTAAGGGGAAGGGGGAAGGGTGGTCTTGAATGATGAATAGACATTTACCAGAGAGACAAAGAACATTCCAGCCAGAGGGGACGGCATTAGCAAAGCACCGGGAGGCTCAGAACAGCACATTTGGGGGAAATGGCAAGTCCTTTCGGCAGGGGCACCAATAGGCAAAAAAAAAAATCAGGCTAGAAAGAGTATTTCATCCTAGGGAGTTTGGAATTTGTCCTAAAGAAAATAAGACGCCACAGATGGATTTAAACCTTTTATGCCCTTAATTGGTTACTTAAAATTTAAATTAGTCCCTTTGCAAGTCAAGGATTACCTATTTTAACTAACCACCACCACCTTTTAAAGACAGAATTACTTCCCCAAATTTAAACTGGTCCTTCCTGACAGAGTAAAAGCTTTCCTATTTGAATGACAACAGTAACAACAGCCTTTGCATTATATATTTTTCATATTTATTGTCAGTGGAAACTTTTGAGTCCTACAAACAATCCCACACTTTCATTCTCACCAGACCAAAAGTACCAGCATCCAAGCTGAAGGCAAGTTTCTATTTAATGGAGTGAGTGCCCACAAAGGATCTTATTCTGAAGGCCACAGAACATGCTCACACATGGAGACTAAAGGAGAAACAGTTTAAGGCCCTGGGGAAGGGGGCTCGCCCCAGGGAAGCTCCTGAAGACACCAGGAATTCTTAGTCTGGTGCTCAGGAGAAATCCTCCCTCTGGACCGAGTGGTTAGGAAAAACTTCCTTGAAGGAGGGATTGAGGTTAAGATGGGCACGGAACCCAGAACTTGGTTAGGCGAAGAAAGCATTCCTGTTTGAAGAACCTCCAGCACAAAGACAGGGAGTTGGGAAAACGCAGAAGTCAGCTAAAAAAAGATCAGCTCTGCTAAAGCCGGGATGGAATTTGCTGTTGGAAGTCGGGGGAGAAAATGCAGGCCATAATGCCCCAGCAGCCAAAGAGTTAACGAATCTTCTAAATGTGCCTGATTTACTTCCATAGCAGAGCTTCCTCCACAGGGGGAGAATCTGACCCTAGGTATAAAACACTTGGAGCCCTGAGAAAACATGCAACCACACATAAATCCAAAGCCCGCCTCTGGCTTGCTCTCGGCGCACACTTTCAGTTCCCCCATACAAACGCGATCCGGGACCGACACCACATGCAGCATTTCCAGTAACTTACCATACATTCCCGTCCTGTTCCTATCCTAACACAGTTCCACATCATAAGACCACAGATTTGTGCAAAACTTCATACAGAAAGCTCTGCATTTATTATCTCACTGATGCACCACAGCAATATGGCATGGGAACGGCTGGTACCACCGGTTCACTAATCATATTTTTCTAACCCCAGTTTGAGACCCATAATATGACAAATACAGGATATTTATGCAAACAACAGGACAGGACTGGGACTGCTACTTTCAAGAGCCATAATTACAGACTCAAATAAACTGCAAAGGTTCCTGATGGGAGAAACTTGGTTGAACAGCATCACCTGTTAAAGAGCCAAGGGGTTTTACTTGACAAACGCAGTGGGTCAGTGTGACAGGACTCCAAAAAAAGCTCCTGGGATTGTAGGCTTTGGAGAAGTACCCAAAATAAATTAATCCTACTCTAGTCTGCTGGTTACATTTCACAGCAAGTATTTCATTCTGTTCTACAGAGCAGATATTAAGAGACACATAGACAAACAGGAATGTGTTCAGAGAAGATCAACTAAAATAAATTGCAAATCATGTCACTGAAGGTGTAACAGTTCTCAAATGTTAAGCTCCTACTAGGAGCATGGATCTTCACCCAATTTATCCCTAATCCTCATGGTAACCTGGCTAGATGAGTATTTTCACTCACAGATTTCAGAGAAAGATACAGCAGCTTGGAGCGCTAATCATTAGTATGTGAAGGGACTGGGAAGTGAACGCAGATGTGTCTGGCTCTCACGCTGGCGTTCTTTCCACTACCCCACACTGCCTCCCTGTTTGAAATAACTGGGCATGTTTAGTTTGAAGAAAAGAAGCCTTGTAGAGTAAATGGAAGAAGGAAATGTGCTAGCAGTCCTCAAATATTTGTGGAAGCAACATTAGACATTTAATTCTGTGTGGCTCCAATGAGTGCAAATTGTAGAGAAACAGATGTCGATTCAACATAAAGAATTTTCCAACAGTCAGGGCAGTCTGGAGGGATCGGGTGGCTCAGCCATTTTGGGACGTGACAAGTTTCTTGTCCCTGGGGGCTGGGGAACCCTGTGGCAGGTATGCAAGCTCCATGTACATGAGTGAAAGAATGACCTTCAAGATCTTTTCCCCGTCTGATAGAAACTAAGGATCAGATAGAAACTAAGGCTCAGATACATATTGGAACATGGCCAAGCTGATCCTTCTACTGAAGGGACAAATCCACAACTCAGCTTCCCTAGGTGTGTCCCTCAGCCCAGAATTCTGTACCACATGCTGCTTCGCGCTGACGGCAAGACAAACTGAAGAAATTGTCAATAAAATGGAATCAACTTCCCTCTGAATCAATTTAATGAATATATCCCTGAAGTGACTGGTGTCTTCCTCCCTTTTCAGGTTCATTTTTGGGTAAAAGTCTTTGGCTGCAAAAAGCTCAACAGATGAACGGTAGAGGAGGGAAGCACCAGAGCAGAATTATCCCGTATCCAGATGCAGCTCAATGACAGAGAGGTGTTTCTATAGGTTACAGCATTGGTGGGCACCCATGAAGTATGTTCACACACGCTCTGCATCACTCCACACACTCCATTATCCCGCACGGGGAACTCTGCTCCACTATCTCACATCTAGAGGACATCATATCCACCCAAACAGACAAACAGGTTGAAGGATTCTAATTAAATAATAAAATCTTGCATTTTTATAGCTCTTTACCGTCTCACATATATTATCTCATTTGTCCCTCACCAGTCCTCTAAGGAAAGCAGCTACTTTCTTTCAAACAGACAAGCGATTTTCTAGCTGCCTGGGGAAGAAAGGGCTAAAGCACACTATTTCTCGCTTTTTTTTTTTTAACTTTCCACATGAGATTATTCCTCCAGCCTGGATGAGTCAACCCAGGAGCAGGTGTTTCAGTTTTCCTCCGTCGCTCTCATTACCTCACACCTTCTTCAGCTGCCCACCCCCGTCCCGCAGGGCCCCCACTCCCGCCAGCACCGCAGCTCCCCGGCCTAGCGTTTCCGGCGCGGGTTCCACCCCACGCCCGGCAGCGCCTGCACCTGCGGCTCCCACCCGGGAAGGAGAGCAGCCGCCGAGCGGCCGCGCCCCGCACCCGCCCGGGCGG